CCAAGTCAGCTAGTGTTATTGGTTTGTGGTCAATGTTACCCTTCATGTTTGAACTGTGAAACAGATTCAACCAGATTGGATCAGTGATTGGTTGAGAAGAGACTTGAGTAATGAAGAGGTTCTTCACCATGGAGTACATTTGGTTTTCCCCCATGGGTTATCTCCATCCATTGGTTGCGAAGGTGATGATCTTCCACAATGGATTGGATGTATCATAGGTCAACTTAGTGGACACCAGAGGAGGATGTGGGTTGGCCCTGATAGGTCAAAAAGGATGACACAAGCTGTGGAGGGCCCCACTTCCCGTGTCAAGGAAGGAAGAATGTGCCACAAAGAAGCCATCTTCAAGATGAAAGATGTGAAACAGAGGGGAGGTTGTCATGCTTTATCTGACCAGAGTTCTTTTTCTTATGACTTGTTGAGCTCTCACCATCACATTCTGATGTGTCTCTGTTTTGGCATCCTCGGAAAGATGTGTAAAACACACTGTGCGGTGTGAAACAGAGAGGATGATGATGACATGCTTCCATCTGACTACATTTCTTTTTTCTCAATCTTCAAAATATCTTTCTCACACATCATCATGTGAGGGGTGAGAAAAGGCCAAATCATGAATTCTACTGCTGGTTGCCAAATGATCCAACATATTGCAACATTATCAGGGATGTGATGTTTTTTCCTCCTTCTCCCTCTTTTTGCCTGATTGAGCTCTCAAGTGCTGCTGTAATGGCAGACACCAAAAAATGACCACCTTTTGGATTGGCTTAAGATTCATGGCCATCATGACAAAGTGCTAAGGTATCTGATGCACCATTCATTAATAGTTTTATACAAGAATTTTATGTGCTGTGGTTAGTGGACAATGACACGAAAATGGTAGATCAAAGTTGTATCTCTCTTTCTCTCTAATTTTTCTTTATTCTTTCAATACCGTATCGTATCGATGTTTTAAGATTGACTCGGTATGGTACGTTACTAATGTACTAAGCGGTATACCCTGATGTACTGAATAATTTTATATATTTTTTTTCCTATCAGAACACTGTAACGGTACCGGATGATCGTGGACCGATATATCATCGGATCAGTATTTACCGCTCATACCGGACGATACCGGTACGGGCAGTATCATTCGGTACTGTATACCATGTTTTAGAGTTGGAAATAAAAATTTGACAGACTTTTTAATATGTTGAAAAAATTATACCTCTGTCAGAAATATTATTTTCGATATCGATCACATATGACTACAACCTAATTCGAATTAATTTAATTAAATATATATATAAGTAGTTGGTGATCAAACGGATAGGGGACTCATAAATTTCATGTCATTTATCTGACCTTTAACCCTCCGTAAACAGGGGAACTGTAAGACCATAAAATCGATCGCCGGCGGCTCGCATAAGAGGAAGAAGACGACGCCCAAGCACTCACCCTCTTCCTCCTCGCTCTCCGCGCCTCCGCTTGGGGCTCACGCGTTAGCCTGGAGTGGGTCGAAGAGCGCCATGAACGCCGTCATCAGGGACGACGGACGGTCTCAGATCGAGGAGGCGCGAAGGAAACGGTAGGCCGTCGCGCCAGAGGAAGACTGCGCGTTGCTGGTCGTCTCGACCGCTCCCCCCACGATCATCATCGAGGCGAGGTAAGTGGCTCTCGTCCTCGCTGCTTGCGCTTGGATTCGTGCTTTTGGTTTTGTTGATTGGTTCGTAGGGATTGATCTGAAGTCGAATCAACAAGATGGGCCACGATTAGCAATTTGGCCCATATGAGAATGGGTTGGGCTGAGACCATA